TCCCCCAGCCCCAGTCTGTCACTGAGTGACAGAATCATTAAGGTTGGAAAAGCCCTCCAAGGTGGTTGTGTTTGACTGAACACCATCATGAGAGCTCAATCACTGCACCAAGTGCTGTGCCATCTCTCTGAGCACTGCCAGGAGTGGTGTCTCCCTTGCTTCACTAAGCAATCACAGCTCTCTTATCCCTCTCACCAGCTCTATGAAAGTGCCATGTCCTGTGCTTAAGCAAGGAAGAAATGGGTTTTCTAGGAGGGGCCAGCTTGGAAATTTGAGACTTAAGAGTTATTTGCACAGGCAGATGCATTTCTGTGCTTCCCAGGATGAAAGGTGGAGGTGAGCAGCTGGATGAGCAGCTGGATGAGCAGCTGGATGAGCAGCTGGATGAGCAGCTGGATGAGCAGCTGGTTTCTGTGTGGCACGTGCTGTCAGGTGGGTGGGTGAGCTGGAGCTGCTCTCCAAGCACAGTGTGGTGTGCTCAGCCAATGCTGGAGAGGTCATGATGGTGATGTTAGCTGAAGGTGCTGTGGGCACATTCTCCTCTTAACTCTCTGTTAAGGGCAGATGGCTGCACCTGAGGGCAGCCTAGTAGGTCTTACAGTGTAAACTATCCAAAAAAAGAGAATTGTAAGGGACTTTTGGATATGTCTCAAACATATTTTCCCCCCACATCCCTGTGTCTCAAGGTGTTTCACTGGATAGAAGTTCCTAGAAAGACAAAATCCAGCTTGCCTTTTCTCACTTCCTCCTCACAACTGCAGTGTGTCCACTTAACAAGAAACATGCCATCAGTCAGCTCCAGCCTGGAACAGAGTCCAGCACCAGAACCTGAGGAGGCCTCACACTTCTGCTTCTGTCACAGGGCAAAGACTGCCCAAAACTGCTGCTCAAATATAATCATAATTATGATTATTATATCTCCTTATATAAGGAGAATCATAATATTGGAAGGGTTTAGGTTTGGGTTTGAAGTGACCTTCAAAGATCACCTTGTTCCACCCCCCTCACCTTGGGCAGGAATATCTTTCACTGAAGCAGGTTGCTCATCCAACCTGGCCTTATGCCTTTCCAGTGACAGGTCATCTACAACTTCTCTGGGCAGCCTGTGCCAGTGTCTTACCTCCCTTTTATAAAAATATTCTTCCTTGCATTTAATCAAAATCTACCTTCTTTCAGTTCAAACCTGTGAACCACAGGTGTCACCCCAGCTCCTGTTACAAAGTCTCTTTGTCATGCAGACAAGTGTCCCTGTATGTATTGAAGGGCTGCAGTAAGGTCTCCCCAGAACCTTCTCTTTTCCAGGCTGCACAACCCAGCTGTCCTGGGCTGTCCCCTTGGCACAGACAAAGCCCTTCCTGAGCACCTTGGTGGCCTCCTCTGGACTCAGCCCAACAGGTCTGTGTTGTTCTGGAGGCCCCAGAGCTGGGTGCAGCACTTCAGGTGCAATCTCAAGAGTGCAGTAGCTGGGGAGAATCACCTCCCTTGACGTGGTGGACACACTTGACCTGCAGCCCAGTATATACTGATTTTTGGGCTGTAACTGCCCATTGCCAGCTCAGTTTTTCATCCACCACTATCTCCAAGTCTTTTCCTGCAGGGCAGCTCTCACTCCATTCATTCCCTGTATTGATAGTGGAGGTTGCCCCTACTCAATGGAGGATCTTGCACTCGACCTTTTTGAACTTCGTGCGCCCAAGTCTCATTCACCACATGATTTTGTTTTAGTGCTGGGCAGACAAACCAAGCACAGATCCACACTACAGAACTTTCAGGGTTACCTGAAAGTAATGTGCTGCAGTGGTCTGAGTGAGCAGAAAAGAAACAAACAAACACAAATGAACTCTTCACAGTTTCACACCTGTGTGGTGTATTTGAGGAGCAAGACAAAGCTGTGTTAGTAACCAGGGTAATGAGAGCTTTGGATATAACAAAACTCCTGGCAGTTGACCTGAGGTGAAGCCATGGACAAATTATGTTGCATGTCTCTGTCAGGAAACGGTGAATAGTGACAATTTTGGGGAATACATCAGCCAGCACTGTGCCCAGGGCTGTCCTCACAGCAGAAGTGCTACATGGAAAGGCCAGAGGGGTCTGCACACCCCTAACAGCAGCAAGGACCCCATTCCCCCTCTCTCTCAGCCAGCAGAGCATTTTAATGCTGGCCTTGTGCTTTGCAATGCAATGGGAGCCAGAAGGGGCTGAGGTTTGTCTGCAGCAGGGTGAGCTGAGTACATTGTTAGAAATTTGAAACCTGCAAGTGCAGAAATCTCCACTGGACCCGAATAGAGATAGGTGGGAGGGGAGCTGCCTTCCATCCACGTGTTTCCCACCCCTTTAGCTCCTTTGGAAGGCTGGTGGGCACTGATGTTACAAAAGTGGATGGTGGAAAAC